CACACGGACAGAAAGCGGCTGTCACAGCATGTGAGTACTAAACTAAGTTCTCATTCACACACAAGTTTACGTTAAAAACACACATGAATTACAAAAAACAGCCGGTTATGTCTGTGAAGGTAAACAGCTGGGAAATAAATTGAATGTTTATTTTAGATCTGTGTGGCAGCAGCAATACATGAAATAAATCAATAAATCCACTGCTCGCGTGTCTTCCTTGAGGCTTTTGCCACGTCACCAAGGGAGCGAAATCAGACGCGCTCGTTTTCTCAGACGCTTGCAGAAAAAGGCTTACCAAAACAAAGTTACTGGGTTAATCTTTTTCAAGTTTCCTTCGTTGGTAGATGCACCGGGGACCTGATAATAGCATTTAAAACCTGGAAAAGTCAGATTTCCATGATATGTCACCTTTAAGCGAGTTGGCCATGTCACTTTGACAGATTGGGTTATACTTTTTTTTTTCATGCTCTTAAACTGGAAAGAAAGGTGGTGAAACAGTTTTCACTCAGAAATTGCTAGTAAATTTATATAACAAAGAAATTGAAAATAACATATTTAAATATTTATTTTTATTTTATTTCATTTTGTAAAGTATACTCTATTAATCTTCGTTGTATAAAATACTTTTTCATAATGTAGTGTCCACCAGTAAAATATTTACTTATTAATAGTCATTTCTTCATGTAATAAACATACATTTTTTAAAATTTTAATTATTTTTTTTATTAATATTTTATTTAAATAGACTTATTTGACTAATTAAAACATTTATGTATTTATTAATTCATTAAACTTTTTTTTACATTTCTCTCTCTCTGTCTGTATTATTATTTTCTGTCTCTTTATATTTTCTCTTTTATTTAAATAGACTTTTAACTAATTAAATACATAAATTTATAAATACATGTATTTTTAATGTGACTTTGATATCACAAGAACTTTTGTGATATCAATGCTAAGTGCTTGTATTATTCTTTTCTCGCTACATGAAAATGACAACAGATGCTGCAGTCTTGTAATCTTATGAGCCATTTTATTGAACAGTGCACCATGAATGAACTCCACTAGTTTCTAAAGTAGGGAATTGCAGAAGACCAGATACTTTATATTTATGTCAAAATGACAGAAAGCATTTGAATTATCTTTAAATCTTTTGAAATTTGGTAAACAACAGAATTGGTTTGGTTTAAGGTTGTGACGGTGATGAAATTTTCCCACCGGTTAATCGATGTGTGACAATACCGGTAATACCGGTATCACCGCGGGGGCGGGGCGTTCCCTCTTTTCCTCGCTTTTAAATAGCTTGTAATAAAAATCATCAAACACTGTGGAACCAATTAAATAGGAAACTAATGTTTAAAAAAACTTCCAAAATCACCTTAGATAAACGGCAAAAGTCAACAGATTTTTCAAAATCCTAAATATTGCCAAACAGGCGCTTTTACATTTCGTTTCAAAACTAAATCGTCCGCGATCGTCTTGTCTGTCTCACCTCACTCTTCTTGTCTGTCTCACCTCA